ACTGGCGCGCGGAGCGCGCCAGGGGCGGCGCCAGAGGCGCCGCCGGGGGGTCCAGCGCGAACCCAAGAAATCCGCACGGAGCGCCAAAAGTTTATGTTCATGTTGTTTTTCCCCACCATCCTGTGGTGTTGGGTCCTCGTTTGCCCGCGTTTCCTCCTTCCTCCTCCCTCGTCCCCTCCTCTCATCATCATCATCATCATCATCATCATCATCATCATCATCATCATCATCATCATCATCATCATCATCATCATCATCATTCATCATCATCATCATCACACGATCGTTGCCTCATAGGGAGTCCACCGAATGGTCCCAATGGCGCGGTTGGTTGCGTCTCCCCCCCAGTACAGCGTTTCGTGGGTCCCACGGGGGAGCGCCACCGAAGGTCCCCGTGGCGCAGTCCGCATGCGTCTCCCCCACCCAGTACAGCGCTTCGTGGCCTCATAGAGGCTCCGCCGAAGGTCCCAGTGGCACAGTCCGCATGCGTCCCCGCCACTCATTTCGGCACACCCCTCACACGTTTCGTGGCCCCATAGGGGCTCCGCCGAAGGTCCCAGTGGCACAGTCCGCACGCGTCCCCGCCACTCATTTCGGCACACCCCTCACACGTTTCGTGGTCCCATAGGAGCTCCGCCGAAGCTCCCTCCGCATGCGTCCCCGCCACTCATGTCGGCACACCCCTCACACGTTTCGTGGCCCCATAAGAGCTCTGCCGACGGTCCCAGTGGCACAGTCCGCATGCGTCCCCGCCACTCATTTGGGCACACCCCTCACACGTTTCGTGGCCCCATAGGGGCCCCGCCGAAGGCCCCAGTGGCACAGTCCGCACGCGTCCCCGCCATTCATTTCGGCCCACCCCTCACACGTTCCGTGGCCCCACAGGAGCTCCGCCGAAGGTCCCAGTGGCACAGTCCGCATGCGCCCCCGCCACTCATTTCGACACACCCCTCACACGTTTCGTGGCCCCATAGGAGCTCCGCCGAAGGTCTCAGTGGCACCGTCCGCATGCGTCCCCGCCACTCATGTCGGCCCACCCCTCATACGTTTCGTGGCCCCATAGGAGCTCCGCCGAAGGTCGCAGTGGCACAGTCCGTATGCGTCCCCGCCACTCATGTCGGCCCACCCCTCACACGTTTCGTGGCCCCATAGGGGCTCCGCCGAAGGTCCCAGTGGCACAGTCCGCATGCGTCCTTTTCGGCACACCCCTCACACGTTTCGTGGCCCCATAGGGAACTCCACCGGAGGTCCCCGTGGTACAGTCCGCATGCGTCTCCGTCACCCAGTACAGCGTTTCGTGGCCCCACGGGGAGCGCCACCGAAGGTCCCCGTGGCGCAGTCCGCATGCGTCTCTCTTACCCAGTACAGCGCCTCGTGGCCCCAGAGGGAGCTCCACCGAAGGTCCCCGTGGCGCGGTCTCCACAGGGATCACCACCGAACAAGTGTATCACAATTGCGGTACTCACACCTGCATATGGTTGGGTCATTCGTCCGGCTAATTCTTGTTCTATTGGTGCGGGCCCAAGTGGGCCCCCCGATCGCTGAACGCGAAGCGGTAGCAGCGGCTTGCCGCCTGGTTTTGGCCACCCCGCGTCCCCCGTGAGGTCGCGCACCAACGGTCACTCTTGCCTAGGGACGCGTGCAGCCGATCACGGATCGATCCAGCTTGCCGCAGGAAGATGGGGCCCAGGGTACACTTCGAACTTTTCAGTGATGTTGCATTTTTATGATTAGAAAATGGCATCGGATCTGGGGGGGGGCTGGATCCCCCCCATCCACCCCTAATTAGGTGCACGCGCCTGCGCTGGGCACGGCGCCGCCGAGGCGCTTGACCGCTCGCTCTGCGCGCGCGTCACACAAAAGGGAGGGGCTGGAGGAGGGAGGGGGTGAGAAACCCCAGGTCTCCAGCGGGAAAGGCTTCTTCAGGGGTCTTCGGAAAATCTCCTTGGCTCCTGCAGGGTTTCTCGCCTCGGGCGGCGTCCCTGGAGCTGCGCCTCGCCGAGGGAGCGCGCCGAGGGTGCCCGAATCGTGCCGCCGCACGGCCGCCGGGTCCCGAATTGGGGCGTGGAAATCCAGTTCTCCAACGGTATGCTTTTTAGCCCTGGAGGCTTACCTTGATCTCGCCCTCGGGAGCCCTGCCCGAGGGCCTCCAAACCGCTTCAAGAGGCTCACAAGACTGCTCCCAGGGGCCCGAGAGGGCCCCAAGAGGGCACCCAGGGGACCCAGCAGGGTTTCCAGACGGCTTCCGAACGGTTCCGAAAAAGGAACTTCAGGAGGCGTCCGATTTCGTATGCGTTGTTGCCCGCTTCCAGTCGTGATGCCTGCGCGTAGTTGTTGTTGGTTCGTCTTTTTCTTCCTCCACGTCTGTTGCGCGGCTTCTTGGGGACATCTTGAGGCCTTTTCGGGACTCCTGGGGTCTGCGTGGGGCCCTTTGGGAGGCCTCAGCGGGTGCCTGTATGGGGTCTCCCGAGGGAGCGTTGGGAGTCGCGCGGCCCATTATGTGCTGCAAAATCCCCTCTTGGGGTTCTCATGGGCTCGGGACCCTCTTGCGAACTTGTGAGCTGGCCGTGCTGGGGGGCGGGGGGGGTCAGGGCTTCTTGAGGGGGAAGGCTCCGGTGCTCCCTGCGGGATTCTCTCGTGGACATTTGTTTCGGCCTTTTTGGGGGGGGGGCGGCCTCTTGGGCTGCCTCCGGGCCCTTTTTTCTGTCTCGTGGCCCTCTCGGGGTGCCTTTCGGGCCGCCTTGGGCCTGCCTGCAGGGCTTCTCGGGCCGTCTGGGACTCTCAGGAACCTTCCAAGGCGAGAGTGTGTCACTTATTCGGACTCGGACGGGAGATCCGCTTCTGGATGTCCCGCCTCGCGAGGTTCTTTTGAAGGTCCTTCTTGATATTCCGCTTCTTGCTTCTCCGCTTCTTGATTCAAATTAGCGGGGGCCCATGTTTTCCGCTCTTTGGGGTCCTCGTGAATGTACTCTTCGGGCCCTGTTGGGGCCCTCATGGGGGAGTGTTTTGGGCCGTCCTGCGGCCATCTTCGGTGCTCTTGCAGTCTCTCTGGCGCGTCGGAGCCGCCCGCCTGGAGCCACCCGCGGCGACACATTGGGTTTAAGTCGGGCCTGTCCCTTACAGGAAGGGAAATCAAACATAGTAAATCAATAGTCGGGGGACCATGTTTTGGTATTGTTTGGCAATGTGGGATTTTTTTGTGTATTTTTAATTTTCCTCCCAAAATCTTTCTGTATGGGGGGCAGGCCCGATTTAACACTGGGCATCTGGGCGGCCGCGGAGGGTGGATTTGGAGGCTCTGGCGGCCTCCAGGGCGCGCTGGGGAGCTCGTCGTGGGGCTGTCTGGGGGCGGCTGTCTTGGCGCCCTCTTGGGCTGCGTGGGCCTCTTCAGGGGGCTCTCTTGGGGCGTCCTGGTGCTCTTGCCGCGGGCTGCTTTGGGCCATTTCGGGCCCCCCTTTGTGCGCCTTCGGGCGCCGTCTTGGGTCGCTCTTGCGAGCTTCTTCGGTCGTCGCGAAGTTCGGAACGCCAGGGAGGCGAGAACCCCAGAAACGTAACACACTAAAGGAGACCCCGTGATGTTCGCCTTCTGGGGGCCTGGTGTCCTCTTCGGGCCCCCCTTCGGCCGCCTTTGCGAGGAGGGGTGAAGTGGGAGGATGGGAACCTTTTCCAATGTGGATGCTGTCGCCGCCCTCTCCTGGTCGACGGGCGGGACGGGACGAGGTAGGGAAAAAGTGAGGTTGGAGAAGGAGGAGGAGGAGGAGGAGGAGGAGGAGGAGGAGGAGGAAGAGGAAGAAGGGCACCAGCGCAAGTCCAGGATGCAACAGCGATGCTGCAGCACATCCTCGCGCCCCCAAAAGCTCCCTCTTCAGAGTCAGGCGATCGCAAACGTGGATCAAAGGGCCGTGGATTAGCGACGGGCCCGCGCATCCATGGGGACTCGCGGGCCTCCGCCGCCGAGCGAGGCGGCGCCGGCCGCATCCTGGGGAGGGCAGCTCCCCCGATCGATGGATTTGGCGACCGCGCGCCAAAGCCATGGATCGCCAGTCCATCTTTGCGCGCCCCCGATCTGCCACGGCAGTCCCTTGGTCACGTGGGTGGGCTCGTTCGCGGAGTGGCTCGTGGCGTGTATCACCGAGCGCGCTCCACTGCTCGCAACATGCCTATGCGCAGACGCCCGATCAACACATGGCTGCTTTAGTGTGATTTTCCGCAGATCCCCCGCGGTGGATCCAGGCCATTTGCGAGTAGCTACCCCGCGGGTAGTGGTGCGGGCAATGTCTATATCCACATCCAGTGCATCTTGGAGTCTCGGGCTCTCTTCCCCAAAAACATGAGGCGCACTTGATATGGATTTAAATCTGGCCCCAGAGGGCTAGATTCTATCCATATCCAGTGCGCCTCGGCCTTGCGGCGCCCCTCCCAAGAACGTCCAAGACGCACTGGCTATGGATATAAGTATTGCCCGCAAGTGGAGCGCGCTCGGCCAGTCCTTGAGCCAGCCGTCCACGGATCGCGGGTCCGTGTTCGCGCGCCCCCGCCAGGAGGCACGCTCGCCTCGCCGCGCCCCTGCCCCTGCACGAGGCGCGCCCAGGTCCGCTCGAGGGAGAGACAAAGGGCCCCGTGGGCCTGCCGCTCCGACGAGGGTTTGTTTTTTTCCTTCAAACAGAATTATTATTATTATTAACCGTACGATTCGTATTCGTATTATTAGTATTCGTATGATCATGATGATTCTTATTGCTAGTATTATTAGTGGTATTTGTATTATCAGTATTAATAGCACTTGTAGCAGCAGCAGCAACATCAGCAGCAGCATCAGCAGCAGCAGCAGCAGTAATAGTAGTAGTGGTAGTAGTAGTAGTAGTAGTAGTAGTAGTAGTATAGTAGTAGTAGTAGTAGTTGTAAGTAGTAGTAGTAGTAGTAGTAGTAGTAGTAGTAGTAGTAGTGGTAGTAGTAGTAGTAGGAGGAGTAGCAGTTGGTAGTAGTAGTAGTAGTAGTAGTAGTAGTTAGTAGTAGTAAGTAGTAGTAGTAGTAGTTAGTAGTAGTAGTAGTAGTAGGTAGCAGTAGTGTAGGTAGTAGGAGTAGTGTAGTAGCAATAGTTGTAGTGTAGTAGTAGTAGTAGCAGTAGTAGTAGTAGTAGTATTAGTCGTAGTCGTAGTCGTAGTCGTAGTCGTAGTAGTAGTAGTAGTAGTAGTAGTAGTAGTAGTAGTAGTAGTAGTAGTAGTAGTAGTAGTAGTAGTAGTAGTAGTAGTAGTAGTAGTAGTATGTTGTGTTTTAGTAGTATAGATGTAGATCTATGAGTATATGTACACATCGAGTCATGGCTGCCTTGCATCCCTCTGGGGGAGCATCAGGAACGCGACAAGGCAGGACCCGTCGACCTCAACGAGTTGCCAGCGAGAGCCACGACGTGACAAGGAGCCCCCCCCCATCCTCCAGGCAACAGTTGCACAAGGCAGCGCTCCTGGCGGCATCCGTGCAGTTGATAGCGTGGGGCATGTCCAAACTTCTGGGCGCTGCATGCGGGGAAGCCCCGCGATAGCCCTATATTGAACAATGGGCCGTCCTTCCTCGTTGAGCCTTGCTTCACAATGTGACAGTTTGAGACGAACGCGCGCGGCGTTGAGGCGAGAGCCGCGATGTTTAAAAAGTGCCGCCCTCCTCGACGTAGTTGTTGCAAGTTGCAAGCTTTTGACACTCATGTGCGCGGCGTTCAGGTGAGAGCCCCCATTTTGAAACGAAGCTGGCCTCCATCCTTGCATCTGCTGGAAACTTTGGAGGCGAGCGACCGCGACGCGCAGTCGAGAGCTGCATGATGGAAAGGTGCCAGCCTCCATCCGTGTAGCTGGTGCACAGTGTTATTACACTCGTGGCAATTTGTTTGAGGAAGTGTCAGGAGAGAGCCCCGATGTTGAAAAGGAGCCTGCCTCCACCGTTGTCATAGTTGCAAGATTTTGAGACGAATATGCGCGGCGCTCAGACGAGAGCCGCATGTTGGAAAGGACCTCTCCTCCATCCGAATAGTTGGTGCAAGCCTTTACGACGAATGTGCACGTCGTTAAGGCGAGAGTCGACCTGGCCTCACTCCGCGTACCTATTGTAAGCGTCGGCGCAGCATACTAGGAAGACATATCCATCGAAGCACTCGGTACTGCCTACGTTCGATGATGCGACTGGGAGGGGGTGTTTAAACGGAAGATGGGTCGAGGAGGGAAGGAGGATAAGTTGTCAGAGAGGGCAAGACGAGGAAGAGGAGGAGGAGGAGGAGGAGGAGGAGGAAGCGGAGGCGGAGGCGGAGGCGGAGTCGAAGGCGGAGGAGGAGGAGGAGGCGGAGGAGGAGGAGGAGGATGAGGCGGAGGAGGAGGAGGAGCAGCAGCGGAGCGGGAGGAGGAGGAGGAGGAGAGGAGGAGGAGAGGAGGGTTTCGGGGACGGACGGGAGATTCGAGGTGGGAGGGCAGGGAGGCAGGCAGGCAGGCAGGCAGGCAGGCAGGGAGGGGAGGGATGGAGGGGAGGGAGGAGGCGGAGGAGGAGGAAGAAGAGGAGCAGGAGACGAGGAAGGGCGGGAGGGAAGGGGGGGCGGGAGGAGGAGGGGCGGATGAGGAGGAGGACCAACTCGGAAGAGGAGGAGGAGAGAGGAGGAGGAGGAGTAGGAGGAGGAGGAGGAGGAGGAGGAGGAGGAGGAGGGGAGGAGGAGGAGGCGGAGGAGGGGGGGGAGGAGGAGGAGGAGGAGGAGGAGGCGGAGGGAGGAGGAGGAGGAGGAGGAGGAGGAGGAGGAGGAGGAGGAGGAGGAGGCGGAGGAGGAGGAGGAGGAGGAGGAGGAGGAGAGGAGGAGGAGGAGGAGGAGGAGGAAGGAGGGAGGAGGTGGAGGAGAGGAGGAGGAAGGAGGAGGAGGAGGTGGGGGGAGGAGGTGGAGGAGGAGGAGGAGGAGGAGGAGGAGGAGGAGGAGGAGGCCGAGGACGATGATGAGGAGGGCGAGGATGAAAGGACGAAGCAGCAGCAGAAGCGGTGGGGAGGAGGAGCAGCGGGCGCCGCGAGGTACGTGGCATCCGCGGGGGCGCAGCCGGCGCAGGCGCCACCTCCGCGGGCGGCTGCTGCACGCCGAGGGGGGGCGGGGTCGAGGAGGAGATGGCGAATGAGGGATGAGCTTCGGGTTCGAGGCTTTCGGGCTCGAGGCTCGAGGCTCGAGGGCGTTTTCGTCGGTCCTCGGCGGTTCTCCAGCCTCGGGGTGCCTGCCGGCGGCTGCCCCTCGCCGAGGGCGCCCCGGGGCCGCCCGCCTCGCCCCGAGCGGCCGCCGGAGAGCGGAGGTCGCGGCCAGAGAACCGCAGCGGCTCGGGCCGGCCTTGAGATCCGAGCGTCGCATTCAGGCGGTTTTGCCTCGTTTCGGGCGGTGGAGGGAGGAGGAGGAGGAGGAGGAGGAGGAGGAGGAGGAGGAGGAGGAGGAGGAGGAGGAGGAGGAGGAGGAGGAGGAGGAGGAGGAGGAGGGAGGAGGGAGGAGGGAGGAGGGAGGAGGGAGGAGGAGGAGGAGGAGGAGGGAGGAGGCGGGGCGGAGGAGGAGGAGGAGGAGGAGGAGGAGGAGGAGGAGGAGGAGGAGGAGGATCAGGCGGTTTTGCCTCGTTTCGGGCCTCGCGAGACTCTGACGGATCGATCCGGCTCAGAAAATTTCCGCGGGGAGGGTGGGGTGCAGGGCCACGGGAGATTTCGTGGCGTCGCGTCAGAGGGAGGGGGGGGGAGATGGAGGACGGGAGGGAGGACGCGGGAGGAAAGGGAGGAGGATGGAGGATGGAGGAGGGCGCGGGGAGAGGGGGGACGAGGAAGGGGACGGAGGGAAAACGAGGAGGGTGGAGAGCTCATCGTAGCCCATTCTTATCGTGCTTCTTATGGTCGTGCCTCCCGTGCTTCTCGCCGTATCCCTCCTGCTTCTCCTGGTCGCCCTCCTGCTTCTCATCGTCGCCCTCCTCGCGGCCGCCGTCGTCCTCGCCGCCGTCCTCGCCGTCGTCCTCGCCGTCGTCCTCGCCGTCGCCCTCGCCGTCGCCGCGGCCGTCCGCCGCCCGCGCCGGGCGTCGCCCTCCGCCGCCCGGTGGCCGCCGGCGCCGCGCGCGCGCCCTCCGCGCCGCAACGGCGCCCCAGGCCGCGCCCGTGGCCTACGGGGCGCCGGTGGTGACCTACGGGGCCCCGGCAGGCGCGCGCGGGGCGGGCCCGCCGAAACGGCGGGCGGCGGCCGCCGCTGCCTCGGGGTCGGCGGAAAGCTCGGCGGCGGCGGCGGCGGTGAGCTGGCGGAGTGCGGCGGGCGGCTCGGCAGCGGGCGGCGCGGCGGCTGGCGGCGGCGGCGGCGAGGCCGCCGAAACGGCGGCAGCGGGCGGCGGCCAGCGCCAAAGCGGCGGCCTGTGGCGGCGGCGGCGGGCGCGCGCCCGGCCCGTGCGCGGCGGCGCCGAGGACGCCGTCGGCGGCGGCGGCGGCGGGCCGCCGTCGGCGGCAGCTGACGGCGGCGACGAGCTCGAAGTCATTAAGAAGTGCGCGCTGCGCGATGCGCGATTATCTCCGTGATCTTAGGCCGGGCGTGTCCCTCTACAGGTGGAATATTTCAAAATAGGAAAGAATCAAGATGGGGACGACTCTGTGACCTTTTTTTGATGTTTGCTTTGCATTTGTTAATGTTTGAATTTTCCGTCCAAAATCCGCCTGTAGGGACGACCTAACATTAAGAAGTCCGCGCTGCGCGATGCGCGATCATCTCCTCAATCTCCCGCGCCAGTCCAGTCTGGAGGGGCCAGGAGGCAAGGGAGGAAAAAACACCTGGGCCCGACAGCTGGCGTTTACTGAACAGCACTGGGCGTTTCCCAAACAGCCCCGCCCTGTTCTATTCCTTCTTTGGGTGCGCTCACTAGACGGCCTTTCTCGTCGGGGTGATTATTATGGGGGTGGACTTTTTTTCAGGAGGGAAAGAAGCACACAGACACAAATCATTTTCGATTCCCCAGAACATGTAAGAAAATATGGGAAGTGGGGGGGAAGACATAATCCCAGAACGTATGGGGAAATGTGGGGAATCCTTTTATTTGTGTGTATTTATTTGTGTGCCCCTGGGCCCCTTGAACTTTGTTGCCCTCTGAGGAGGGGCCGCGGCGCGCCTCCCTGCCCCCGCTGCTGCGTGCCTCCTGCCCTTTCCCTCCTGGGGCCGCCCCCTGTGGCCTTGCCTCGGCCACCTCCTCCCCCCTTGCTGGGCCTCTGTTGCCTCTCGCCTGCCCTCTCGTCCTGGGCCACCCTGTGCTCAAGTCGGGCATGTCCCTCTGCAGCAGGGGAAGAAAAAAGTCGCATAGACATAAAAACTCGGAGGTCCGCGCGGATTTCTCGGATCGGCGCTGGACCCCCCTCCTTGGCGCGCGGAGCGGAGCGCGCCAGGGGCGGCGCCGGAGGCGTCGCCGGGGGGCCCCAGCGCCGATCCGAGAAATCCGCGCGGACCTCCGAGTTTTTATGTTCATGCCACTTTTTGTTCCCCAGGAGGGAAAGTTCAAGAATAATGAGTGACCAAGAACAAGATGGTGATGATCTGTCGCGCTCGCTGGATGATTTTCTGGACTACTTCTGAGTTTTGCCTTGCAAGATGCGCCTGTGGGAGGACATGCCCGACCTAACCCCTCGGCCGCCTCCTCGCATTCCTGGGCCAGGCAGGCTGCGGACGAGCACGGGAGTCGCTCCAGAGCGCTCTCGAGCAGGGCGCCCCGGAGCTCTCTGGGCCCACCCCTCTCGGGGGCCCCGAGACGGGGGCGGGGGTCAGCCAGAGCGCCCGTGCTTGCAGGATCCTGCGCAGCGGCAGGGTCGCATCGACCCGGGCGGGGGCGCGGGACCCTGCAAGCTCCTGCCGGATCCTTCGATCGTTGGCCCGGGCTTGGGTGCAGGACCCTGCATGATCCTGCGCTGCCCGACTGCTCCCGGGTCGGGAGGGACCCGGGTCGGCAGATCCCCGAGCGTCGAGGTCGGAGGGGGGTGTGGCAGAAAAGGGGCGTGGGTGGTGCCACTCGTGGGGATGGCGATGGCTTCTACGATGGAGAACCTCGCCCAGATCTCCAGCCTTGGCACCACGCCCCCTCACGCCACGCCCCTATCCTTCCCCCAGGGTCACAGAGGTCTCCGAGTCCTCTCTCGGCCCAGCTTGATCTGCGTCCGCTGGCAGCGTCCCCGTAGGCCAGAGGAGGAGGAGGAGGAGGAGGAGGAGGAGGAGGAGGAGGAGGAGGAGGAGGAGGAGGAGGAGGAGGTGGAAGAGGAGAAGGAGGAAGGGAAGGAGGAGGAGGAGGAGGGGGGGGGGAGGAGGAGTGGAGGAGGAGGAGGAGGAGGAGGAGGAGGTGGAGGAGGAGGAGGAGGAGGAGGAGCTCCTCCTCCAGCCCGTTCCCGTGGACGGCCCCGGGGGCGCGATGGTCGGCCCCAGAGGCCGAGGCCGGCGGAAACGGCGGGGATGGAGCAGCTCGTGTCGCGGAGGCCTCTTCCCAGTCCTGGGCCTCCCAGCTGGGCTCGGAGGGTCGCGCCGCGGCGCCGAGGCATCGACGCTGCGGCACGATGCGGAGCCCGATGTTCTCCCCGCCGACGCGTCGCCGATGCCTCCACCCTCCACCTCACCCTCCACCTCCACCTGGGCCTCCCACCCTCCACCTCCACCTTCCGTACCTTCCGACCTCTGCGGAAGGCGCGGAAGGTGATGCATTGAAGCTACCGAAAGCCCCAGGAAACGCAGGCGATCTCAGCGCTTCACGAAGCGCATGGGTGTGGAAGGTCAGCACGGAAGGTCTGGAAGAATGAGGGCGAGGGCAGATGGGGTCGGAGGATGGCGCCGCAGCGCCGATGCATCGACGCTGCGGCCCGATGCGGAGCCCGATGTTCTCCCCGCCGACGTCGCCGATGCGTCGCCGACGTCGGCGATGCGTCGCCGATGCACTGACGGTGCGGCGCGATCCGCCGACCCCCTCTGCTCGGACCCCATCCGGGAGGCCTCGCCAGCGCTGGCCCGCCGCCCTCTTCCAGAAGTGCACGGCGCCGCTCCCCCGGTGCCGGCCCGCCGTCCCTATAGTCTGAAGCCGGTCATGTCCTTCCACAGGAGGAGCATTCGTGAATAAAGAAAGTCTCGGGACGATTGTTCTAATGTTTGACATGTTTGGATCTGTTTAGACGGATTATTATCATCTACCGTCCAAAATCCGCCTGTAGGAGGACATGCCCGACCCAACTATAGTCGGTTCTTGATGGCACCAGTGCCTGGCGAGGCCCCCCGGAGGCCGAAAGGCCGACCGCTGAAAAGCCCGTTTGAAGTGGGGGGTCCTCGGACTCAGACATCATTGCACGGTCGGACCGAGGAATGGGATCTAGGTCGGTTCGCGGAGGGCACCCTAATGTTCATCGCGCTTGTTGGAAATTGTAGAGGCCTCCGGCCGGTGCCGCCGATCCGGGACGATCCCGCTGTCAGACGGACGCTTTCGCCCCAGCGCGCTTGTTCAAACGTAAGCGGTTTGGAAACAGCTTGGAGGCATTGTGTGGGCTTCTTGGGGGGCCCTCGACGGCGCATCTTCGAGGCCTCCTGGGGGGGCGTCTTGGAGGTGATTGTTGTGCCTCTTGGGGGCCTTTTGGGCTTCTTGGGGGGCGTGCAGGAGGCATCCTGGAGGCCTCCTGGGGGTGTGTACGAGGTAATTTTCAAGCCTTCGGGAGCGCTTTTGGGCGCCTTTTGGGGGCCTCTTGAGGGCCACTTGGAGCCTCCCGGGGTTTCTTGGGGACTCCTGGGGCCATTTTGGTGCCTCCTGTGCGCCTCTTGGGCCGTCTTGGGTCCTTCTAGGGCCGTCATGTGAGCCCTCTTGGGTTGGGCCCGTCCTGGGGCCCGCTTGGGCTGTGGGCCGCCCGGGCCGTCTTGGGCCCATCTTGGGCCGACTTGGGGCCCTCTCGAGAGCCTCTGGGCCTGTTTTGGGGGTCTCTTGGGCCGTAATGGAACAGATTTTCCGTCTTTGGGCACTCTTAGGAGGTGTCGGGAGGGTATGTTGCAGGCTTCTGGAGCCGTCTGCGGAACATATTGAGCGTCTTGGAGCGATGTTTCGGCCACTCAGGGCCCTCTTGGGCCGTCTGGGCGGCCGTTGGGTGTTTTATGAGCCCGCGTTCGCGCTCTCCCGGGCGAGGGGTTGACCCGGAGTGAGCTGGAGCTCCGATTTTGCCACCAAAATTGACTCGGAACCTCCCCCCCCTACCCCGGCAGAGCCCCCCCGCCCCCCCCCAGCAGAGCTGAAGCTCAAGAACGGAGGCTCAGGCCATATCTGAGGGTCTTTGGAAACTCACACGCCGGATCGGCGGATTCTTGTGCATCCCAGGGGAGAGCACCCTCGGATGTCCTTCAGTTCAGGCGGCGGGGCATGTCATGTTCTTGAAGAATGTTTTTTCTGTCCCTAGGTCCAGCCGTGCTGAGTGTGCGCGTCGCTCCCGCGGGAGCGGCGCGCACACGGTACAACTCTTGCAGTACTGGCGCCGGGGCGGGCACGGCCTTGCCATGCCGCTTGGGTAACAAGATAGGCTATGGCACTGCTGTGCTCTATCCCAGGCCTCCCAAATAGGGCCCCTGAAGATGGCGTCAGAGGATCCCGCCGCATCGCCGATACATCGGCGATGCGGCTCGATGTGGAGCCCGAAATTCTCCGCGCCGACGTCGCCGACACATCGGCGAGGAATCGTCGGGGATGCGGCGCGATCCTCCGACACCATCTGCTCGGACTCCAGTTGGTAGGCCTCTACACAGTGGGGACATCCAAGAAGAAGGTGGCTTGCCAGCAGTGTCCCACGGATGTTGCTCCCCCCTGGTCGGCCCCGGGGACCCACAGGAGTTCTGAAGTCAACGGCACCGCAACGGGTATTTACTAACGGATACTTTTCAATTTTGCCGAAAGTTGCCACTTTAGGGCCTCTTTCTGGCAATGCAGCGTTGCCCGCATCGGGAAGGGTTGGGCTCGCTGGGTCACTGGCCAAAGTACCCGTTAGTGGAGTCCCCGTTTGAGGGGCGCTGATGAAGCTCCTGAGGGCCCTCAGAGATCGACGAATTCTGTGCCCACAGAGCTGTTACAACAGGATTTCGGATCGCATCTGGCAGAGGGGGCGACCGCAGGAGCTCCGTGCTTTGTCCCTCGGGAGGCGGGCTGTTTTTTGACCAGCAGGAGGGACCACGCTTCTCGGAGCGTGACGGCGGGGCGCGAGCGTGTAGGGTCGAGTGTAACGTAGGAGTTTGTGCACTGGCGTGCGAGTTCAAGAACCGCAAATCTCGAGGGCGACGAGGAAGAGGAGGATGGGAAGATGTAGGAGGAGGAGGAGGAGGAGGAGGAGGAGGAGGAGGAGGAGGAGGAGGAGGGGGAGAGAGGAGAAGAGGAGGAGTAGGAGGGGAGGAGGGGGACGGAGGAGGGAGGAGCGCGTAAGGATGATGATGGGTGATGATGATGATGATGATTGATGATGCTTGTGATGTGATGCTGCGTGATGTGCTGCTGATGATGCTGATGATTGCTGATGATGATAATGATGGATGCTGCGCTGATGAAGTAGTAATAGAGGAGGAGGAGGAGGAGAAGGAGGAGGAGGAGGAGGAGGAGGCAGGCGCGAGGAGGAGGAGGAGTAAGAGAGGAGAGGAGGAGGAGGAGGAGGAGAGGAGGAGGAGGAGGGAAGGAGGAGGGTGTAGGAGGAGAGGAGGAGGAGGAGGGATGAGGAGGAGGAGGAGGAGGAGGAGGAGGAGGAGGAGGGAAGGGGGGAAAGGCGCAGGGGTCAAGCTTTGTGCACTCTCGCCATCTGGTATCCTACCCCTCCGCCCCCTCCCTTCCCGTTGCGCAAGTTTGTTCAATATCCGAGGGCGCGTGTCAGGAGGAAGAGGAGGAGGGGGAGGAGGGGAAGGTGGAGGAGGAGGAGGAGGAGGAGGAGGCGAAGGAGGAAGGAGAACCGAGGAGGAAGAGGACGTATCCCGCCGCCCGCGGTGGGGGGGGCAGCTGCCACCGCCTCGCCGTACCCAGCGGCGCCGTACTCGGCCTACCAGGCGCCGTCCTACACGCCAGCTTCCGCGTGCGCCCCGCCCCCCTCCCCTCGGGGGCGGCAAAAGACGGAGGGGTGATGATTAGGGGGGGTGGATACATGGCGGGGGCCATGAGTACTTTCCCCGATTTCATGGCGCCTCTTTATTTTTACGTCCTGCCCCACGCTGGCCCGCGCACATGCCCGCCGGCCATGATTGCAGCCCCCCTCTTGACAACCCCCCTCTTTGCGCCCTACCCTCCCCCCTCGCGGCGTGCGCGGGTGCGTGCGCGGGCACTTCGAGCTGCCGCATGAGGAGCTCGTCGTTGTCGTGGTCGTGGCTTTTGTCGTGGTCGTGGTCGTGGTTGTCCTCGTCCTCGTCGTCGTCCTCGTCGTCGTCGTCGTCGTCGTGGTCGTCCTCGTCGTCGACGTCATCGTCGTCGTCGCCGTCGTCTTCGTCGTCGTCGTGGTCGTCGTCGTGGTCGTGGTCGTGGTCGTGGTCGTCGTCGTCGTCGTCGTCGTCGTCGTCGTCGTCGTCGTCGTCGTCGTCGTCGTGGTCGGCGTCGTCGTGGTGGTGGTGGTGGTCGTCGTCGTCGTCGGCGACGTCGTCGTCGGCGAAGTCGGCGTCGTCGTCGTCGGAGTCCGGCCCTGCCCTGCCCTGCCCTTCCCGTCCCTCTCCTCCCCGCCCCTCCCCGCTCCCCCTCCTCCTGCCTCCGCCCCCCCCTTTTTCCCCCCCACCCCTTCTGCGGCCTCCCCCTCCTCCCCCTCCTCCTCCTCCTCCTCCTCTCCCTCCTCCTCCTCCTCCTCCTCCTCCTCCTCCTCCTCCTCCTCTTCCTCCTCCCCCTCCCCCTCCCCCTCCCCCCCTCCGCCTCCCCCACCATCCCTCCTCCTGCTTCACCCCCCCTCCCTCACTTCCCCCCTCCCCCCCTCCCCACCTCCACAGGCACACGCTCTGAACACTGCTCTCCTCTCGCCGCCGAGTCCTTATCG